TTAGTCACCCCGTTCACAGTCACTGATGATTGTGAATCCATGTTACTGTTTTTAGATTGTTGGAAAAAACAGCAATTATCAATGACTGATTAAAACAATTATATAAACAGAATTTATAAAAATCTGTAACACAGAATACAGTATATGAACAATAAATAAAACTGACTTGAATTTGAGATAGAGGCTTGCAGATTTGATGCAATGTCCTAAAGACAGTAATTTCACCCCTTCTCGGTGCTTGAAGTTCTACAGGTGACTGCCTCCCAGGATTCAACTATCTGTATTCTAAGCCCTAGCACTCGGACTTAGAATCTGGCGAACGTTGTTTGTTTTCCTCTCAGACAATATGAAATGCTTGTAGAATGCTTTTTCTGTGTTGAACGTATGAGGCCTTATTTGATTTAAATAAACTTCTGAAACCTTATCAGAAGAGTCACAACTGTTAGAAAACAGTTAATAAAACTAATCCGAATTAATAAAAAATTATTAATTCGAAACCAAAAAATAATTTTAAATCTGAAAGTGCCCAAGTGCCCCAAGGCCCAAGGCCCATCTTTTTGACTATTAAATATTATATATTTTTATATAATATTCAAAGCCCAAATCGATTTTGAAGCCCAAATTGCTTCCACTTGGCCTACTTCCATTTACTAAGTGTGGCACTTCCACACTTATAAGGACCTCACTCTTTCTACTTTCTATCAATGTGGGACAAAGGTTCTTGAATTTAATTCAAACTTCCAACAATACCCCACATGAACTGGGACTTTGTTGACTTCTGCCCTTCTGCTACTTCCTATATGAACGGAACTGAGACCTCCATTGGTAAGATTATTTTTTCAATCTAAAAAAACAGAAGAAAAAAGAAAAGCTGCTAATATGGCCGAAGGTGTTGTTTCAATAGTGCTCGAAGGGCTCAGCAACCCTATCTTTCAGGAATTGAAATCCTTGAAATCCGTGGGTGGAAAGGTTCAGAGTGCACAAACCCAGCTACAATTCATGCAAGGCTACTTGAAAGATGCAGACGCAAGCTAGGGACGCAATGAAGCAATACGCATTTGGGTGGCAAGTGTCAGAGATTCTGCTTATGATCTTGAGGATGTCATTGAAACTTATGTCTTAAAAGTGGCTTTTAAGAGGAAACCAAATATTTTGACATGGTTTACTGGCATCTTCATAAAAGGAGTTAATCTTCATCGGATTGGCTCAGACATAAAGAAAATTACAACCGAAATTTCACAGCTGAGTTTGATTATACCAAGTTTTAACCTACACCAAACAAGGGAGAGTGGAGGTGACACTTTTTTTCAGAGGCAACAGGAACGGAGGATTGCTTATCCTCATATTGTCGACCCTCATGTGGTTGGGTTAGCCCGGGGAACAGAGATATTGGCTACGCATTTGATCAAAGAAAAAGGACCCAGAGTTGTTTCTATTTGGGGGATGGGCGGATTGGGTAAAACCACTCTTGCAAAACAAGTTTATCATCATGGTGATGTTAAACGTCATTTCAATTGTTTTGCGTGGGTGTGTATCTCTCAACAATGCCAAGCACGGGAAGTTTTGGAAGAAATTCTGACTAAACTCATTTCTCCTACCAATGAGCAAAGACAAGAAATTGCAAAACTGAAGATTGATCAAATAGCAGAGAGGCTTTGGAATACGCAAAGAGAAAGGAAATGTTTGGTGGTGCTTGATGACATTTGGACCAGTGATGCGTGGATCTCTTTGCAAGCTGGATTTCCAATAAATGAGGAAACTGAGAGTCGAATTTTACTCACTACTCGCAACAAAGAAGTCATTTCGTATGCGGACAAAAAGGGTTTCCTCTTCGAACCACAGTCATTGAATGATGATGAAAGCTGGGAATTGTTTGAGAAGAGAGCAATGTATGGAATGGAAAATACAAGTATGTTCTCATACAAATCTTTTATCTCTACTTTCCTTGTTTATCAATTCAGCGTGTCAACGAACTTTTTCTTTGCCACTCTTAAGAAAATTCTATAAGAAACTCTTCAGTTCATGTTTATACTTTTTATTGGTAGAGATCTTTATATTCCTAGAAACTAATTTAGTCTAATTGTATTAAACTTTATTTTAATTATCAGACAACAAATTTGAGGAATACAAAAATCTCTTATGAGTTCTAGATTGAAAATCATTGTAATAAATGAATGATAGAATGGCACAATTTGTTTTGTAGATTTTTCATGCAATTGAACACATATAGTTAATTAATTTGGTCTTAATATTATTTTTCAGACCCTAAAATTTATGAACAGAAGAAAGAGCTAGGAATGGAGATGCTTCAACATTGTAAAGGTTTGCCACTAGCCATCACAGTGCTTGCAGGACTTCTAAATAGAAAAGACACAGTTGATGAATGGACTACGGTGCATAAGAATATTGATGCATATATAAGGAGAGGCACAGACCTTGGGTCCAATTCCATAGGTGAAGGATATGAAGGGGTATCATGGTGGTTGGAATTGAGTTACGACTCTTTATCATATCATTTAAAACTATGCTTTCTGCACTTAGCCCATTTTCCAGAAGATTATGAAATACCGGTGAGTACATTGACTAAACTATGGATGGCAGAAGGTTTTATATCATTCGCACCAGCGAAAGAAATGGAAGATGTATCATATAGGTGCTTAAGTGAGTTGGTGGGCAGGTGTATGGTTCAAGTTGGAAAACATGGTTCTAGTAAAAAAATCAAGACTTGTCGTCTCCACGATCTTATGCGAGACTTATGCACGTTAAAGGCAAAAGAGGGAAACTTTCTCCATATTATCAATTATTATGCAGCTGCAGAGATCAAGCCCACACCAACCGATAGAGTTCGAAGACTTGCCATTTATTTGGACGACACGGTTGATGCATATAGTCCGGGAAAAGATGAAAATTATGGACATGTTAGGTCTTTGTTATACTTTGGCCACCACTACTGCATGGACTCAAAGGTATTACGGTCACTATTCAAGAACTTCACATTACTTAGAGTTTTGAAGTTTGAAATTATGTATGGTAGAGAGTTCAAGTTACCAGATGAAGTTGGGAATCTAGTGCACATAAGGTTTTTAAGTTTGAAGGATAGTTTGATTAAAGCGGTGCCATCATCTATAGCAAATTTGGTATGTTTGCACACTCTGGATTTACGTAGCAGGAATAGGTGTATTAAAATTCCAAATCGAAATGTGTTTTCCAAGATGGAAAAATTGAGACATATATATTTACCCTCAGGTCACAATGCAAGAGATAAACGTCTGTTATTTGCTACAGAGGCAATGAATTTGCACACGGTAGTCAATTTTGGTATTCAAGCATTTGATCTAGATGATTTTGTTAAACTAACCAACCTCAGAAAATTGGGAGTTATCATATTTGATGGAGGGGAAAAAAAGGAGAAAGGGACAAACATCGTGTTTAAGCATCTCCAGTCTCTATTGGTGGACTCTCATTTGGAGGATCTAGCAATACCATGGAACATAGTATTAAGTTGTCCTAATATATACAAGTTGGGACTACGCGGAAAAATCACAGAATTACCAAAAGACCTCATGTGCCTTAGGAACCTCACAAAGCTTACACTGAGGGAATTTGGTAATCTCAAGGACGACCACATAAAAGTATTAGAGAAGCTGCCAAGCTTGAGAATGCTTTTTGCTTTGAGTGGGAATTTTCCAGCACATCTTATTTGCTCAAAGGGAGGCTTTCCATTTCTTGAATTTCTTTCTCTTTATTGGTTGAATTTCAAAGAATGGAAGGTGGAGAAAGGAGCCATGCCTAGTCTCTGCAAATTGCACATTGCGCTTTGCTTTGGATTGGAGGCACTTCCAGATGGGCTCCAATATATTACTACCCTCAAGGAATTAACCATCAAAGAGGTGCCTTCTGAATTCTGTCGCCGGCTTGGGGAAGGAGGAGAGGATTTTTACAAAATCCAACATGTGCAATCTGTTATTATAACAAATATTGGGGCATAAGAAGATTCGGGATAAATGGTATGCTAAATTTTGTTTTTCCCTTTTCTTATTTATTATTTGAAGGGAAGAAGTAATTGTTTGTCTCCTGTTTCCAGTTGAAGGGAAAAAGAGATGGGGGCGGAGCAACAGAGAAAAGAGTTGGGTGGAAAGTCGGTTTATTTTTAATGAGTAGCATGTGAAAAGTGTGTTTCATTAAAGTAGTAGTATTTCTATTTTATTTTAGTATATGGTCTGTGATTGCCTCTTATTGCGTATAATAAATTTAAACCAATTTTGAATTGGAACTACATTATGCAGCTATGTATAGGTTTATTATACCAATTTTTAATGAGTAGCAGTAGTTGCAGTCTATTTTCAACACATTTTCGAATACATTACACATTTTCGAAACAGCAATAAACACCATATCTATTTATTATACACTAGTTACAAGGGTATAATAAATGGTGTACACTCAAACAAATGCTTGAAGCACAGCAAAAACTAGCCCACCCATGAAATTGTTACAAGCGCCATGAGTATAGAAAGACCAGGAACCAAGATTAGTGCATATCAGTGACGAAGCTTATTCCCTCACTTCATTTTGTTAAACACGAGTTACTGTAAAGCGGGTGGAATATCAGTGTTGCCACAGTTAGTCTTTTCATCAACATTTTCACGGAAGGAGTGTCAATTTTCAGCCCTCTCCCTAACCATGTTTAATTCGTAGCGTACATTAAAGGGTAACAGAAGAAAATAGGGGAAATTTAAAAGGAATTCCGTCATCAAAATCATCAATAAGAAATGTCAAGAGAAGGATATACACGGTTAATAGACTAATGTTGCAAACTGTATTAGCTTCAAATGGTGTAGTATTTGAGAAGACCGTCACTGCTATAGAAAGACAAAAGTTGCAACACAGGGAGATCTACATAACATTACTGATCACAATTATTCCACTACAACAGTATAAAAAATAAGCTACAGCAAAGCAGCACTTCAGTCATAAAAAAGTAGCTGGAAAAGAACCACCCAAGGGATGCCCAAAACTGAACCCTATAGGTATAGCACAAGTATTCCACCTCCTCACCCCTTTCTCCCTTAAATACCTCCCATTCTTCTCCCAAATTAAACTGTAAATCCTTATGATCTAAAATGTACAATGTTAACTTTTGCTAGAGAACAATATTCAGTCGCAAGCTCTGAAAGAATATATGACAGAATTGTAATCGATATGATAAATTTTGCTTGGTTCAAAAAAAGAAAATACAGAACCAATCACAATAGAAGTCTTTGCCCCAACATAAATTTCATGTTCCTAAAGGTCTAACTAAATCACTCAAACCAACTAGTGCAGCCTTATTGGTTTCAGTTTATCAACCTAATCAATGAAACTAACTTCCAGGACACACAGAGATGGCTCATGATATCCTGGACCATTGTATCATGGTTGATTATTTAATGAGAACCATGGGCACAAGTATTCAATTTCTAATATTCTATCTTGCCAAACCTCACATAGCTGCTTCAGTTAAACAATTTTTTCAACCTGCTCTGCTCCAAACATTTGATCTGTCTGCATTTCTGACAGCGGAAAGAATTCATTTTGTTCTTTCATAAATAATGTGAAAAACTTCTAACATTAATCCTATTCACCGCCTGACCCAAAAAAAAAACTTTTTTTTTGGTAAATAATAAACCTACTTTTAATTTATAAAAACATTTACAAAAATTTCAATTACAAACAAACGGATCCTTTTTTTGTTCTTTAAATAAAGTGCCTATATTATATACATATTTATATTAAGTACATTATTGATTGGATATGTAATTTAGGGATTTTGTTTGTTTGTTTATTTTAGGTATTGGTGATGTGGGAAGGGAATGCCAACTAAAATAAATGGGGTGATTGATATGGTATTAATAAGAAGTATTACTTATAATTATGGTAGTTTATGACATGCTTGAAAATAAAATATGAAGATAGATGGCATGTAACGAATTTAGTTAATAATACTAGGTCAACTCTTATCTCATATGACAACCTATTTTAAATTTAAATTTTCAGTAAAAGTTTAAATGTAAGGATCTATACCGGAAGAACTGAATAATAAATAGTATGAAGAAGAAACCCAAAATAACTGCTTCCTGGACTTCAATCTTGCTGGGCTACGATATTGGGCTTCAAATCCACATAGAAAAGGACCATGGGGCTCGGATATGTCGGCCGACAACACCGCCTCACTGCAAGCACGGCATGCCCTCCTGAATTCTTCGAAGGCCTCACTGCATTTGTTTCCGAGAAAACACACCTACACACCTCCATATTTATTATAAAATTCACATCTCACTCATCATACAATTGAAATACCTACTCACTCATCATACAATTGAAATATTCTTGGTCCTCATAGTCCGACACAATGGAATACAAGGACAACTCCATCATTGGCGGAGGCGGTTCCACCGAATCACGACGTGGGGGAGTATTTTCCTTCGAAGGACATAATAATGCCATTATTTCTGACACGGAACGCACCACTGGAACTGACTGCGGGCATTGTTCACTAGAGGAGCCATGTGTAATGGTTTTCCTCTTTTTTGTTTTGCCTTGACTAATCTATTAAAAAAAATTGGAAATGCAAGAAATATATATAAAGACATTAAATTGAATAAAACGAAATTTTTTTTTTTTTTTTAACCTCGTTGCCAAGATTTTGACCTCTTCGAACATTTATCCACGACCCTCCGACTTCGATGGAAGATGACATTTGTATTTTTGCACAAATGAAATTTTATAGTAGAAAATTTGGTGTGGAAAGTGAAAAATATTGGAATGAGATGATTTTTTATGAAGATTTGGTGTGGAAATTGAATAAAATGGTTAGGTATTCGTAGGGAAAAAATACATAATTTTTTGGTATTTTTTTTTTAAAAATTCAGAATTTTTTCTAATTTTTTTAGCTAAAAAAACGAGGACCGTCGGATTTTTGGAAAAAAACGATCGAAGCGTCCCTGTTGCGACACGTGGCACTTTACCATTGGATTCTGCCAGCGCTGACGTCAGCACGCAGAAATCAAATTTTTTTTTACCGTTGGCGCGTGTAATTCACGCGCCAACAGTAAAAAAAATTTGCTTTACCGTGCGCTGACGTCAGTGCTGATGTCACAAGACTCGGGCTGAAGCCCAGGAGGAAGTTGCCCTTGGGCCTGCCCGGGCTGGTGGGACCCAGCACTAAACCAGGCTGCTTCTCTTGCGCTGGAGCCATCTCGAGCTCGCCAGGGGGGCCTTTCCCCCAATTTGGGTCCTGCGCTAGACCTGCTCTAAAATAAATTCTAATTCTGAATTATAAAAATACAAGCACAATGATAAAAACTCAACTTTGTTCATAGACAAATCAAAACATTCTCACATACACTCTTGTTTCTTTGATTCAATGATTTCCATTAGTTCAAATATGTAGAATTATGATTTTAGATCTACATGATCAAATGTTACGTCATATGGAGTTTGTAGCAATTTTTGGTATATTTTTCTTATTTGTATTTAATTTCTTATGAATTTGTTAAAGATAAAAACAATAAATAACAAGAAAAGGACATGTGTTGCTATCTGATAGGGCCACATTTATGAAACGCTGATGAAGTGGCTTTAAGAAGCTAACACATGTCAATCTTCAACTATTTCATTTTATTTTTATATAATTTAACTTCTAAAATTCACAATAAATAAATAAATAATTAGAAAAATTCATATGAACTCCTTTTGACATTCTCTTCACAGTAAAGCTCTACAAATATAATTTTGAATTATAAAAATATAAAGCAATAACAAAATTTCATATATTTTATTGATACTTTATTATTGTATTAATACATAGGTAATTAAGTAACAAATTTTTTTTTAGGATGAAATTAGCTCGTCAAAAATATACAAGCAATTCCAACGACGCCAAAATGCCCTTGGAAATAGATGACTACTTTCGACAAAGAAAGAAGTTTGTCAGAAATATACAAGCAATACTAATGACGCCAAAATACCCTCGCAAATGGACAACTACTTCCGACACAGAAAGTAGCTAGTCGGAAATATACAAGCAAATTCCGACAACGCCAAAATGCCCTCGAAAATAGTTGACTATTACTGAGAACAACTAATTTTCGTCAGAAATAATTGACTATTTCCGAGGGCATACTCAACACCTCGGAAATAACCATGACATTTCCAACAACAATGGCTTTTGTCGGTAATACAACAAGCGCCAAAGCTTCCCGCCAAAAAAATGTGTATTTCCGACATACTTTGAGACTTTTTCCGAGAGTAATTTCACAGTCGGAAATAAAATGAATCATGGTGACATATTTCCGACGGTCAACGTTTTTTAGTCTGAAAAAGCACATTTTCCTACGACATTTGGGCCCCCTCGGAAAAAATTTGTCGTAAATGACAATTTTTTTTGTAGTAACTCGGTATTTATACAAATCAAATACATATACAGAGTGATTACGAAATATATAAATTATACAACTTATGCATTCCTGTAGTTTGTATGAGGCTTATTCATGAATTTGACTTCTTTGGCTCTTATTAGTTCCAATTTCCAACTCTCAAATGGAAAATGTAAAATATAAGAGAAGAAGACAGGCAGTGGAGGATTTTAAGATGATGCCACGAGCCCAAGCCAAGACTAACAATGGCTTGTACTTGGTGGAAAGAATTTTCAAGGCAAAGTATTTTTCGCACGGTGAGTTTATGAATGCTGTTATTGGCAAGTCTTCTTTTTTTAATTTGGAAATCTATTATGTGGAGAGACAAGTTATTGAGAAAGGCATGGTACGACGAATCGGCAATGGCATCGCGGTAAGGATATTACAAGATCGATGGATTTCAAAATCATCCACTTTTAAGCCATTATTCACCACTAAAGTGCAACCATATGCAACTGTTTCTGATCTTTTAACTGGTTTGGGGGTATGGGATGTGGTAAAACTTGAAAGTCTCATTGGGGACGAAGATTGGGCAGCGGCACTCAGAATTTATTTGGGTTCTTTTGTACAGGCGGAGGACAACAACTCTTAATAAGGGTAAATTTGGGAAACAAAAGATATATTGTCTAATGTATTAATGATATTGTTTTAAGTGTAGAGAAAGTGACACATGTCATGAGGAGAAGGGAGAAGGTCTAAAAGAGAAGGTTAGAGAGAATGTTGCTAGAATTCCCTTATTTTTGGTAAATACCAAGAGGTGTCTTCACACCCAAATGGTGAGATTAATCATCGTTCGGGGTTTGGCTTGCCCCTAACCAAAAAGTGCTTCCAACGGGTTTTGAACCCCTACTATTGAAGTACCAGGTAGCTCGTCAGCTAAAGGTAGCAGTTTGCCAACCATTATATTTAGTTAATAATAGTAGGACAACTCTATTTAGTTAATAATACTAGGACAACTCTATTTCACATAGCAACTTATTTTAAATTTGAGTTTTCAGTAAAAATTTAAAAGTAAGTGAGTATATAATTAGGATATAGTAGTTGTAATATCTGAAGAATTCAAAAAATAATAATAAGAAGAAGAAACCCAAAATAAGTTTGCTTCCACAACTTCAATCTTTGCTGGGCTACGATATTGAGCTTCAAATCCACATAGAAAAGTACCAGGGGGCTTGGATATGTTGGCCCTCAACAACACCTCGGGCCATCGGCTACTTGAATTCACTGCAAGCACGACATGCCTTGCTGAAAATTCTTCGAAGGCCTTGCTGCATTTGTTCCCGAGAAAACGCAACTACATGCATTATGATATTGTTATTATGTCTGGCGTGTGAATTAATTAGAAGGCAAAAGCATGCCACCACTTTCTGACTAGAAGAAAAGTAACATGCCATTATTTGCTCAGCAAAGGTGTCTATGTGGATCATGCCGTGTTGAAATACACACTGCCAAAAACACATCATCTCATGCTTTAGTTATTACTTTAACCTAGTCTTAATCATATATATCTTTTTTACACAAAAAAGCTGTCGAGACGACTCCCATTTCAAACAGAACATGCGAAACACGATCTCCATCGGGTTAGAACACACTCCAGTGCACGCCTTATTGAGAAAGGGTTGAGCAGATCTTCAGGTCATTCAATCCCAGTCCTTGACTTTTAAAGTGCAATATCAGTCCTTGGATGACTGGCTACACCAGCACCACCACAGAATTTCGTTCATTAAAAGGCAACAGCATGCTACCACTTTTTGACTAAAAGAAAAGCATTCTATCGCCTCAGTCGCGAGCATTTTTTGTTCTTTCCTCCAAGTTACCTCGGTGAAAATAGTAATTGTATTGCATTATGATTATTAATACTTCAATATATTTATACACCTGTCTGTTGTAAATTGTCCAAATATGCAATAAAGTCAAAAGTTTATCAAGTGGTGTTTTTTGGTAGTTTCCATCACGTGAAGTGATAATTACACTATCGTTATATGGGCTGCTTTCGGCTGGAAGAGATAAAGAAAATCTCTTCTTCTACAACCTTTACTGATTTATAATAAAATATAATTTATATTACTATTTCTATTGCATGCTGTCATAAACCTCTCCTATATTATCTATGCATTTTAAGTTGATTTGTTTAGCATCTCTTACTATTATCTTTATGTCACCGTCAGTCAATGACATACTTGTGATTTAGAAAAATTAGACAATATCCCGTTTGGTTGGTTTACGGAAATTACTTCCCATGTCATTTATCAAGGAATGAGAAATTGAAGATTATTTTTTCATGTTTGATAATGCTTAGAAAGTAACCGGGACATATCACTTTATTTACTTTTTCATGTTTGTTTTGAGTATGAATAGAAAACAAATTTCATATAATTTTTCAATTATACATATATTAAATTAAATTAAATAGAATGTTTTTAATGATATATTGTAATTTAAATTGTTGATGGAGACAAAATGATCATAAAAAAACATGTTATTAATGCTGGCTCATTTTTCCAAAGTTTTCCATGGAAAGGGAAAATGAGAGGATTACATTTTCCTCTTATTTCCCCATATTCTAGGCAATCATTTTCAATGCCTGAACTTACAAAATATGGGAAAGCAATTGATTTTCCATCTCCTAACTTCCTTTTCCATGAACTAAAAGCAAATGAATCAATATTGACGGTCGCCACACAATTTATTGACTAGACGTATCAATTTTTAATTCATTTATTGAGCTACTTATTAAAATAAAAATAAAAAAACAAAAACCGAGATTGAAAACCATGTCAACTATTATCTCTCCAAATAAATAGAAAAGGATGGGACACAAAGAAGAAATTTACAGGGTGGTGGTAGTGTGGGAGTGTAGGGCAACGGATGATATAAAACAAAAACAAATATTGAGGGAGAAGGAAAGAGCCAAACATGAGAAAATGGAGAGCCATATGAGAGAGAAATGGGAGTTGGGTAGGAAGTGGAGCAGTTGGTAGTATGGTCACTCCCTCCTACAATGGAGTTTTATAACATTTTCTCCTTTCGTTTCTAAACAACCAAAAAACATATCAACAAGTTAAAGCACTTTAATAAAAAATAATTATTAAAAAAAATACAGAGTTTCGACCGATGCAATAATTCTACAGAATAAAAAGAATTACAACTTGCTTCAATGTGAGATAATGCTATCGCTTTGTCTCAAGAAGTGTTTGTATGCGGTAAGGTCTACTTTCACCAGAAGTGCTCACCTGAGGACCAAATTTTGGGGGACTCTGAGCGCCAAACACATCTCACCCGTTGGATTAATCCAACGGTGTTTAGTATAGTAGCTTTGAATTCTCCCAATGAAATTCAGTCCGAGCAAAGCCATTGTTTGCATTGCATGATTGGTTTGCTTCATCAGTTGATCAAATTGCTGGGTGACCTGTTATATTCATTAGATGGAGGAGATGATAGGAAAGAGATTAGAGAGACAGGAGTTGGATCTTGCGGGTTACAGAAACGGGTTGGAAAGTCTATATGGGTCTCACTTTTGGTTACTAAGACTACAAGCCGTTGGATTAATCCAACGGGTGATATGTGTTTGCCGCTCAGAGTCCCTCAAAATTTGGTCATCGGGTGAGCATTTCTGCTACTTTTCAAAGCTGGCATTGATTGTGGAAATATCACAACAATTATGGGACAGGGTGGGGCGGAGACTTGGTTGACTTCTGCCCTTGTGCTACTTCCTATATGAACGGAACTGAGACTTCTCCACTAGTAAGATTATTTTAACAATCCAAAAATAAAAAACAGAAGAAAAAAGAAAAGCTGCTACTATGGCCGAGGGTGTTGTTTCAATAGTGGTTCAAATGCTCAGCAACCCTATCATTCAGGAATTGAAATTCTTGGATGGAGTGGGTGATAAGATTCAGATTGGACAAACCCAGCTACAAATCATGCAAGGCTACTTGAAAGACGCAGACGCAAGACAAGGACGAAATGAAGCAATACGCATTTGGGTGGCAAGTGTTAGAGATTCTGCTTATGATCTTGAGGATGTCATCCAAATTTTTGTATTAAAAGTGGCTTCCAAGAGGAAACCAAATGTTTTGACACGGTTTACTCGCATCTTCATAAAAGGAGTTAATCTTCATCAGATTGGCTCAGACATTGAGAAAATTACAACCAAAATTTCACAGTTGAGTTCGATTTTGCCAAGTTTAAACCTGCACCAAACAACGGAGAGTGGAGGTGGCACTTTTTTTCAAAGGCAACAGGAACGGAGGATAGCTTATACTCATATTGTCGACCCTCACGTGGTTGGGTTAGCCCCTGAAACAGAGATATTGGCTACGCATTTGATCAAAGAGAAAGGTCCTCGAGTTGTTTCTATTTGGGGGATGGGCGGGTTGGGTAAAACCACTCTTGCAAAACAAGTTTATCATCATGGTGAAGTTAAGCGTCATTTCGATTGTTTTGCTTGGGTGTGTATCTCTCAACAATGCCAAGCACGGGAAGTTTTGGAAGAAATTCTTACTAAACTCATTTCTCCTAACAATGAGCAAAGACAAGAAATTGCAAAATTGAAGATTGATCAAATAGCATAGTGGCTTTGGAATACGCAAAGAGAAAGGAAATGTTTGGTGGTGCTGGATGACATTTGGACCAGTGATGCGTGGAGCTCTTTGCAAGCTGGATTTCCAAAGAATGAGGAAACTGGGAGCCGAATTTTACTCACTACTCGCAACAAAGAAGTTGCTTCGTATGCTGACAAAAATGGTTTCCTCTTCGAACCACAGTCGTTGAATGATGATGAAAGCTGGGAACTGTTTGAGAAGATTGCAATGTCTGAAACAAAAGGTAAATCTATGTTCTCACACAAACCTTTTATTTGTACTTTTCTTGTTTATCAATTAAGTGTGTCAACTACCTTTTTCTTTGTGACTCCAACAAACTCTGCAGTTCATGTTTATACTTTCTATTGGTTGAGATCTTTATATTTCTAGAAACTAATTTAATTTAATTGTATTAAACTTTATTTTAATTATTTTAATTACCAAACAATGGATTCGAGAATTTACTATACCCCATATTTAGGGTGTGATGTTCTTCGATGAATTCGAAAACTCATAAAATTGTAGCCCAAAGAAAAATCAGAAACTTACGAGTTCTAGAGTGAAAATCATTGAAGTAAATGAATGATGGAGTGGAACCATTTGTTTTGTAGACTTTCAGTGCAATTGAGCACATGTAGTTAATTCATTTGGTCTTAATATTATTTTTCAGACCCTAAAATTTATGAACAGAAGAAAGAGCTTGGAATGGAGATGCTTCAACATTGCAAAGGTTTGCCACTAGCCATCACGGTGCTCGCAGGACTTCTTGCTAGAAAAGACACAGTTGATGAGTGGAATGCAATGCATAAGAATGTTTATGCATATATAAGGAGAGGCACAGACCTTGGACCCGATTACATAGGTGAAGGATATGAAGGTGTATCATGGTTATTGGAATTGAGTTATGATAACTTACCATATTACCTAAAACTATGTTTTCTCTACTTAGCCCAATTTCCAGAAGATTATGAAATACCGGTGAGTACATTGACTAAACTATGGATGGCAGAAGGTTTTATATCATCAGCATCAGCAGAAGTAATGGAAGATGTATCATATAGGTGCTTAAGGGAGTTAGTGGGTAGGTGCATGGTTCAAGTTGGAAAAAATGGTTCGAGTAAGAAGATCAAGACTTGTCATCTCCACGATCTTATGAGAGACTTATGCATGTTAAAGGCAAAAGAGGGGAATTTTGTCCATATTATCAATTATTCTATAGCTTCGGGGGCCAAGGAAACTCCAAATGGTAGAGTTCGAAGACTTGCCATCTATTTGGACAAAATGGTTGATACATATGGTCGGGGAAAAGATGAAAATTATGGACATGTTAGGTCTTTGTTATACTTTGTCCCAAAATTCTCGGACTTGGACTCAAAGGTGACTAAAAACTTAGTACGGTCACTATTAAGGAACTTCACAATGCTTAGAGTATTGAAGTTTGAAGGTATGGATGTTAGAAAGTCGAAGTTACCAGATGAAATTGGGAATCTAGTGCACTTAAGGTTTTTAAGTGTAAGGGGTAGTGTTATTCGAGTGGTGCCATCATCTATAGCAAATTTGGTATGTTTTCAGACTTTAGATTTACGTACCCTGTGGGGGACTAAAATTCCAAATGGAAACGTGTTTTCCAAGATGGAAAAATTGAGACATATATATTTACCCAGATTTCAGAGTGCAAGAGAAAAACGTTTGTTATTTGCTACTGAGGCAGTGAATTTGCAGACGGTAGTCAATATTTATATTCAGGCATCATCTGATTTAGATGATTTTGTTAAACTGACCAACCTTAGAAAATTGGGAGTCATCATATTTGACGGAGGGGAAAAAAAGGAGAAAGGGACAAACATCATATTTAAGCATCTCCAGTCTTTATCGGTGAACTCTTGGTTGGAGGATCTAGCAATACCATGGAACATAGTATTAACCTGTCCTAATATATACAAGCTGCATCTAGAGGGACGTATCGCAGAGTTACCAAAAGACCTCCTGTGCCTTACGAACCTCACCAAGCTTACATTGATAAGATTTGGTAATCTCAAGGAAGACCACATAAAAGTATTACAAAAGCTGCCAAGCTTGAGAATGCTTTTTGCTATTGTCGGGATTTTTCCGGCATCTCTTGTTTGCTCAGAGGGAGGCTTTCCATTTCTCGAATGTCTCTATCTTTATTATTTGAGTGAGTTAAAAGAATGGAAGGTAGAGAAAGGAGCCATGCCTAGTCTTTGCAGATTGCAAATTGGGCATTGCTTAGGATTGGAGGCAATTCCAGATGGGCTCCAACATATTACTACCCTCAAGAAATTAATCATCGAAATGACGCGTCCTGAATTCTGTAGGCGGCTTGGGGAAGGAGGAGAGGATTTTTACAAAATCCAACATGTGCAGTCTGTTATTATAACAAATATTTTACCAAACCATCCGAGATAAATGGTATGTTAAATTTTGTTTTTTTTTTCTGTTTTTCTCTTTTCTTATTTATTTTTTTCAAGGGAAAAAGAAGTAATTGTTTTTTTCCTCTTTCCACTTGAAGGGAAAG